ATCAAACAACGCTCAAATTGCAGATAAACTTAATACGAAATTCATTAATGGAAATTTTAAATTGAATGACGAATGTATTGATGGAATTACAAAAGACGCTGCAAATGCTGGTGGATTTGCATGTACAAAAGATAATAAATTACTTCAATGTTTACATAATAAATTTATTGTGATTCAAGACTGTATCAAGAACAATTTAATATGTGCAAGTGTGCCAAACACACACCGTGATGGGGTTTCAGTGGGATGTCAATTTAAAAATGGTGGTAATAGTCCCTCATCAAGAATAGATAATGCAAGAAATTGTAAAAAATAATAAACTATTGTCTAGAACTAATTCTCTTAGTACGCATCTCCTTTAAACACTGATTTAACTCTTTACGATATTTTCTTGTCGATGGAGAACAACTAAGATACATCTTACAAAAACCTATAACATAATCACATCTTTTATCATGCCAATTACGTTTACATTCTCTAATGCATATATTTAATAAATCTATTTTCGTATAATTTGAAAGTTGTGTAAACGCAAGAATTAACCTAGAACCAGTAAATGCTATACTTCCATAAGTAAAATAATATACTAAATCAAAAAATAAAGAATCTGTTAACTTGAATCCAATATCAATCAATTTTTTAAATTTCATCGAAAGTTTAGTTGTTATTTCCCATTCAACGCTCAAGTCGTCATCAAAAGTTCTTAGAAAAATAACATTATTGTAATCTTGAAAAGTCCTAAATTTACTATTGTGTTAAATAAATCAACCAATCAGCGTTGATTTTGCAATAATCACATTTTTTGTGATCGGCCATATGTTAGTGATGAAAATTCTGATCTGGCATTGTGATTGGTAGATTTTCCCAACATTATTATCTATCGTTGTAGAATGAACCATCAAAAAGTTCTCTTTTTCCAAAATGATATCCGCAACTATTAAATATCTCAAAAAACATAAGCGTGGTATTTTGATTACTTTGGGAGTGAGCGGTGGTATTTATTTTCTAGGAAAGTATGCAAAGTGGAAAATTATTGAATTTCAAGAAAAAGCTGAACAAGAAAGGAGGGCTAAAGACAAGTAAGAATTATATATTGAATTTTATTTGGCAAATTCCCTTCAAATGTTTGAATGATTTTTTTATCTTTGAGAACCACAACGTTAGTAATCCATATAATTTTCTGTCTGTGTTTTTTTATTTATTTTCTTCCATATTGCAAACTTTCATCGTTGCTTATTTCATAAATATGTAAAGTATACGCCGTCGATTCCAACAACGTCAAATCGACTGTGCGTTCACGGTCGCATCCCATCTTCCATCAATAGCTGAAATCTTGTTGAAGAGATTTGATGTTGAGTCAATTCTAGATAATCTACAAAAAGCAAAGAATTCTACTCCAAATAACTCGCCCGGCGCTTCTATTGTCTTAGTGAATGATCCAAATACAACACCTTCTTCGTCTGTGATATTTGTGGATAAACCTGTTGATATTGACAATGGCAAAATTATAGAGACTAATACCGAGATAAATGATGAAAATAACGTTGAGCGATCTGAAAATCGGAGAAGTGACAGCAGTGGGTCAAGTATAGATAGTGATTCGCAATCTCCTGTTAGTGGAAGCCATTCTACTTATGTGAGTGCGAATCATTCACCCACAGATAAGAAAATTAAGTTAGAGTTATTGAATGAAGTCAAATATAAATGTAAGTCGAATATTCCTTTAAACATTTTGGTGTGATTTCTCATGTAATTTATCATGTTTAATTGTCGCTAACCTCGATGAATAAATAATTATTCGTTATTCTTAGCCTTTATTCGTTCCATAGCAGCAATATATCTCGAAACATTCCTTACCCTGATAATTACTATTCAATTAAACCTTCTGGGAAGATATAATTACCTTTATTCTATTACTTCACTCACCGAACGTGATAGAGAACAAGTGATCCAAATTAATCCCCCTACGGGATCCATATTAAATCCAGATATCGAGAAGAAATATTTAACGTTTATCTGGTGGTTTTTGAATGTTGGATATGAAGAGGTCGTAGAACGAATCAGAATCGCCGTGGAAACTCAACTATCAACGTAACATATTCATTGTCATATAAGTGACGTTTGAAGGTAATAATAAGCAATAATTCATTTTTTTCTTTTTTGATTTTTTTTTTTTTCTTTTTTTATCTTAATATAGTGTATCATTGAAACAAGAGCTCTCATATAAAGATTTTGTGTGGTTATTATCCGAAATACGTTCCCGGATTGAAAGAACTGAAGATGACCGACCTTATGAGTACTTATTGATAATTAGTATTTTGAATTTACTTATTTGGATCAAGTCATTTATACCATTTCGTATTTCATCAGATTTCTTAACGTGTTGATACCTGAAGACCAAGCTGATGAATTACGAGTTCTTGATCAAGGTGGTGGTGGAGAATTAGATCATAACGTTGATCCAAAGCTTAGAAGATTGTTGGATGAGACAAAAGATTTCCTACATGGGTATTTATCAGTTAGTGATTTTTGATTAATTTTAATACTATACTTATTGAATCCATTCCATTCCTACTTTGTGTTTAAAAGCCAGGATTTTACTGCTGTCTTATCTAGTTGTGTATCCTCAGCGTTTTCTTTGATGCAACAGGACTTACATACACATTTCGTTTCGGATGAACCAACCGAGAAGAAAGTTACACTTTCAAAATTATTACCAGCCATGAAGCAAGAAGCGCATATCATACTTAGTAGTGTTCATAATAAATTCCTAGATGTAAGTTTTTCTGGCAATATTCAATATTTCGCACAAATTTAGGTAAATGTTAATTCCTATAAATTTTATTTCACTGAGCAGGCTATTAAGGAATGTAAGGAATTGCAAGCCCTTTGTGCAGTTATTTATTCATCATTTGATGATATTTAAGTTATTTGATAGTTTAGCGCAAGCAAAATTTTACGTAATACTATTTATATTTTAGAAATAGACTTAGTAGGAATAGGATTAAAAATGTATGATGAGAGTGTGCTTTAAAACTTAATTAGTTCGGGGAGTTTATTTGAATTTATTATTAATGTGAAATTAAGCATTAGAATTATGTTCATATTTATATATAATACATAACATTGATGTTGACATCTATATATTCATGTGAATTTTATAGTGTGATGAATGTGAATTATAGGAATATATTGTTCTCTTTGTCCTACGAAACACATCACCGAGCCGATTCCATGTTCATCTTAAGATATAGCCCTCATTAGTTTGAAGCACAAGCAATGCATGATCCAAATTTTCGATTATTTTAGATCATTTTTGTGAATCCAGCATTAGGGCACTGCCCTATGATTACATAACACATTTCTGCTAAACTCTATTAACGATGTAATATTACTAGCTACACATTTATTCCAAATTTTTACATTTATCACCTCATTTTCGATTTATCTTTACTAAACCTACTTTATAACGCTTGCTCTCAACCTATTATATCTTAACCACCCGAAAGTTTGCTACGATGGCTTGGAAATTGAAAATATCTCATAATCATCAATGTGAAACAACCCTTGAAATTCTCTAATTTTCGTTTCATAATATTGTGACCTTGTGTAACCACTTTTAGGATTTAAGATACCACCTATTCTTAGATCACTTCCACCAAAACATATATGACTCACACGAGAATCGAATACTACTCTATCCGCCATTTCTGGATTAATACGACTTATTTTCGATATTATCGTAGGCTTTGATTGTACAGGAGCGTTAGTTGTAATATAATCACTGTTGTCAATACGGTTTCTGCTAATGCTGTTTATATTATTGGAGCTATCACTTCCGCTTTTGAAACTAAATATAAAACTTTTCTTTGTCTCTGGATTAGCAAATCCCCTCTTATCCCACCCAGCAGGATTGTACCCACCAACAATTTCGCCATTCCCTCCAGAAACCTTTGCCACAACAATAATATCCGGCTGGGAACCTATTCGTTTATGCAAATGTTCTAAGTCAAACCCATCCCTCGTTGCTCTATATAATAACCTAAAAGCATATGGTAATACGTATGGAGATGTAGCTGTAATGTCCACTCTTTGAATATCTTTAATCCAGTTTGCCAATATTGATACATGCTCATTTGAAAGAATTTCGGAACTTATACGTCGTCGTGGTGGAAGCAGTGAAGTTGATTTAGTGTAACATCTAGAATTAAAATAAGTTTGTAAATCATCCCAAAGTGAAGGAGGAAATATTTTTGCATAAGGTTTAATTTTAGAGTTAAAATCGCAAGGTGAAATCTCAGAAAATCGAATATGACAAATTAATTTCTTAATAGTTTTTGATAATGCTTTAAAATCAGAATCACACCATTTTTCAACATCTTCAACAGTATCAGTACCATCATCAGCCTTTAATTCTACAGTATTTATAATTCCCCAATTCAAAACGAAACTCCAAACATCAATTTCACGCATCCTATTAAAATCATCTCTTTCCAAAATATTAATTAGCATATCTTCTTCTATATTTATAAAATCCTCAGAATAAAATAACAAGTTTGGATTATTGACAATTGCGTGAATACAATATGATTGTAATTTTTTACAAGAATGGTTAACAATTTTTTGAAGCACAGAAGAAATATTAGACTGAATCCAATTTGAATGTTCAGATATTAAATATTCCTGAGCATGATCGAATAATTCATGAAGAAGTAATTCATCGGATGCAATGATAAGATCCCAAATTTCGGAAGCTTTAAGCTGTTCTAATGAAGCTTTTCCACTATATATATATCTGTTTTATAAATTATTTAATTATAATTTTAATTAACAAACCGTAATTAAACGTAATTAAGAAATTCATAAAATATTTAATACATTACTTTAAAATCACGTCAAATACATCATGAGAAATATTTGGCTTTTTGAAAACAAGCATTTCGCCGTCCTTTTTGGTCCATTCAGTTGAAAGCGCTGCTTTAAAGTAAGAACATCTAGCACGTAAAATTATGGAATGAGCCTTAAACATTTTCATATGTGGCTCTTCACCAATTCCAAGATACACATCATAATCATAAGCTTGAGTAAGAAGCTGTGAAAAGTCTTTCGATAAGGTTACAAGAAATTCTGTTTTCATGTTATAAATTACAATAAGAATTCAAGTGTTCGTTACGTATCAGTTAAAGGTAGTTACAGTTCTAATATTATTATTAAACATGTGATATGTTGTACTACAACATATGTTTTGATTTAGATTCTAATATAACAGTGAATCATTCAGTTATTAGAAATTATATTACAGTCAGGGAATATAGCAAATTTGAAGATCGGTTCTAGAACGTATCTAGAATGATTTTCAAAAATTCCCTGCCCGATGATTGGATAATGATAATTGGTGCTATCGCTAACTAGTGCTAGAATTTAGGGGCATTCTTAGTAGCAAACTTTGACAAGTCGATATTCAAAAAGAAAGTCGAAAACTTCTATTTACATAATCAGCCGTTATTTTTGGGTAATCAACATTTTTTGAAAAGGTAAATGAGACCCGAAATAATAAAGAATAT